CCCCAAAACCCCAAAACCCCAAAACCCCAAAACCCCATTATTTATTGTTAAATTGAAAAGTTACTAAACACAAATTCTGGAGAAGTAATCATAGATAAAAATAGCACTGATCTAAAGTAGAGACTAGCCCGGTTTTGTAATTCGGTGTAAATGATATGTATTAACATGGAATGAGATATTTAAAGCTAATTGGAATTGCTGATCAATTCAAATTATGAAGATTTGAAGTTCTAAGCTTGCAGAATACAAGTTGTATAGAATACTCATTGTTTTTAGAAGATTTAAGGTTGTTTGAAAAGCTTAGCCATAATTACAGTTATGAAATAGAAAAATTGATATGTGAAAACTTATTTATTTTCCGATATTACTATTATTTATATTTAAATTCATTGCTGAGATTTATAAATAAAATAACAAGACTAGGACATTCTCATTGTTGATTCATAAAAATGCAAACTTATAGAATTTCATTTTGAATTACTTGGTATAATTTCAAGAACAGTGAATAATATAACTACCATTTTAGGAAATAAAAAAAAACTTATTATAAAGGTTCACCGGCATGATTAGCAGGTTGGAACTCTAGTGTTTCGTTCAGAGATACTTCACTTTGACTATCCTGGAGGTTTCAAATATCATCTGCATCATTGACAATTTTAGTCTTGGCTTGTCTCATTCTATCCTTCTTGCTCATAAATCAGTGCTCTATTTGTAATGTATTGTCAAAATATAATGAAGTCTTACCTAAACTTCTTTTGTCATGCTTGTCATAATCTTTATGTTCATCTGTTTGAGCCTCTTGGTACATCGGATGATCTAGCATGTAATGTGTGGGCTGACAGAGCATATACTGTTGAGCTTCCTCATCATCAGTTTCAATTTTGTTAGAATTTAAGGCTTTATTTAGTAAAATTGATTTTTGTAGTTTATTGTCAGTGCTTAAAAACTTATTATTAGCATTTTCTTGAGTAAATGAACTTTCCTTCTTGTCTTCCGTATAGTTTTCTTGCGATGTAGAGAATGCACTGATGTCAAGTATTACTTTGGCCTCCTTTCTTTTGAGCTCTCTATCATGGTCTATTTGGTCATCTTCGTCTTCAAAATTTATGAGTTGGAGCCTTGTCTTGATAGCTTTATTGTCAACTAGTTTTGTTGAACTTGTTGATTTAGCTAATTTAATAGATGTCTTGCTGATCTTAAGAGCTTTCTTAGGGACAGTTTTTTCGATTGGCTTTAAGCTTCATCTTGAACTTGCCTGCCTGCTTGTCAAAATTCTAGAGGCTGATTCTTGCATTGCTGAGGTAATTTTGCCAAACCCAATTGAGGGAGAATTTTTATTTGTATTGATTGGAGAGCTTACTCCTTTCAAACGATAGTCCATCACTTTTAGTTTTCCATTGTGAGTTAAATGTTTATTCTGATTTGTCTTTGGCTGAAGCATTTCATTGGATTGGATAGGGCCACTTTTTGTATGAAATGTGGGAGGGCAGTTTAAAGTATTCTTCTGAAATTGTGCGCCTCCTGAGTTTGCAATGCTTTGAATATCATTATCTAGTCTTTTTCTTCTATACTTATACTTCTTGGGTATATCAATGAGGTTGTTCTTTTGAGATGAGTTTACAGTTTCTTTTGTGCTTTCTTTTGCCTTCAGTTTTAGCTTAGATCTCTGAATTTGAAGAGCTCCTTTATTTGATAGAGATTTTGGATGAAAGCCTATCAGATTATGATCAAATTTGATTTGTCCCTTCCTCTTAATGTTGGGTAGGTTAATGTTTAAATTAAGTTTAGGACGATTTGAGGTGTCTTCATTCTTGTTCAGGGTTATCACTTCTATATTTTCAGTCTCTGAATCAGCCTTGGTGCTCTGTTTATGGTTAGTATTTATTTGCAAGTTAAGTTGGGACTTCTTTGAAACATTTTTGGCAATATTATTTTGAAATTTTGAATTTTTCTTCGGGGAGTTTTTAAGTTCTTTTTGGGTTGGCTGAGAGAGTTTAAGGTTGAGTTTTGTAAAGGTGTCAGCCATTTGTTCTTCTTCACTCTCTTTGACTGCTCATAAGTTCATTTGGTTGTGTAAAGACGGAGTGACGTTCTCTTGCTCAATATTTCTTCAGCTTTGGCTTGACTTAATCTTTGGAATCCCTTTTGAATAAATATTGTTATTATAAGATGATTTAGGAGAAACTTTAGTAGTTTCATAGTATTCATCAGACTGTAAAATAGGCTCATCAAAAGTAGCTTTGTTATATTCACCATTTACCTTTGTTAAGCGAGATCTGGCTCTTCTTTTCTCTTTGGCTGAGAAGCCTTTGATGATTTTGTTGTTGTCAGTTTGGTACACAGGGGCTTTAGGGTAATCTTTAATTTTAGTCAACTTTTTAAGCTTCACCAATTCATCGTTCTTCTTTTTGAGTTCATTCCTTAAGATAGATATTTCGTTGTTAGCCTCAGCTAAGCTTTCATTAAAGTTTTGTTCAGAGTTGTTGTCTCCATTAACCATTCTAGTGCTAGGAGAGAATAGATTCTGATTTAACTTCTCTTGAGTGTTCGATCTTTCAAAATGAACGGGGATAAATTTGTTTTCCATGGATCCACTTTCTCTCCTCTTTGTTTTACTGGAATAAGTGTTGGTATTGTTTGAAGGGCGAGTGATTCTTGGAATTTTACTTGGTAGTTTACAAGCAGTCAGTTTTTCACCAAGTTTCTTTATATTTGAATTACTAATTGTATTAATATTAGTATTTTGTGTCCAACTTCCTACTATTGCTTCCTGATTTTGAACTAGCTTTGTTAGTCTTGGATTAGATTTTTCAATCGAACTATTTCTTTGTGTTACAGCTCTGGAAGTATTTTTGGCTACAATATCTAAGTCTGGAACTCTGGTTAAGAATTCTTTTCTTTCGTGTTTTTTAGAGAGTGCTCTATTTTTTGTATTAGCTTTACAAGCTCTGTCATGAAATTTCTGATTGTCTTTAATCCTTGTTCAGAATTGTAATTTACAGTCTCTTTTTGATACCAAATTTGGGTTTATTACTCTTTTACGCTTAGCTTTCTTCTCTATAGGCAACTCTTGGATTTTCTGAGTAATAGAATCAAGCTTGAGCTCATTGTGAAGCTGATGTTGAACTCCTCTTTTCAAATGGGGGTTGTTCATATTTTAATTTTATAATCATTCACAATAAAACTCAGAACTAAAGGGGTTTTGGGGTTTTGGGGTTTTGGGGTTTTGGGG